GTGGTCCTTATTAGGTAAATTGAAGGGTCACCTCTCCTTAGAAACAGTGAGGAATTTGGGCCACCCATGGTAGTGGCAATAGTTAATGGTAATGGTGAGCAACAGGTAGGCCAACCATAAGGGAAATCATCAATTTTCTAAGCCTGTATAACTTCTAACAATCAGAGAGACCTTAAATAAGTTAGGAAGAAACACATAGATTACCTGATGACTAGGAACAATCGCAGAGGCTCAAGAAATATGAGCAACCAACAAAAGGCCTTTCCCTCAAGGGAAATCATCAAGCCTACATCACCCACAGTCAATACAATAGACGTCATGGACATATCTGATAAGGAATTCAGAATATTTGTAGTGACCAAACTAACTGAGATGGAAGAGAAAAGAGACAAGGAACTCCAGGAGATGAGGAGGATAATTTACGAGGAATACTGGATACCATCAAGCGCCCCAACATCCGGATAATTGGTATTCCAGAAGAGGAAGAGAATAATAAGGGCCTAGATAATTTATTCCATGAAATCCTGAAAGAAAACTTTCCAAATCTAGAAAGGCATTCAAATATCCAGACCCAAGAAATACATAGGACCCCGAGTAGAATCAACCCAAGAAGATCCTCTCCAAGGCACATCATAGCCAGACTGGCAAAAACAATAGACAAAGACAAAATACTAAAGTTGGCAAGAGGGAAAGGCCAGGTTACTTACAAAGGTCACCACATCAGGCTAACATCAGATCTCTCGGGGGAAACAATGCAGGAAAGGAAAGAATGGGGAAATATAGTCAAAGTGTTGAATGAAAAACAATTTCAACCAAGAATACTATACCCGGCAAAATTATCTTTCATATGGGAAAAAAAGAAAAAATCATTCTCGAATAAACAAAATTTGAAGGAATTTACCAACTCCAGACCAGCTCTTCAAGAGGTTCTGAAGGGAGTACTATACCAGGAAAACTAAAAAATTAGAGACAGTTATATGAGAACAAAAAGCAACCAAGAAAATGGCTCACTTAATGATAGGATCAGGTATGGAAATATCGATAATTACATTGAATGTCAACGGATTAAATTCTTCATTTAAGAGACATAGACTGGCTGAATGGATAAGAAAACAGAAACCCTCTATCTGTTGCCTACAAGAAACCCACCTTATGGATAAAGATATACATAGACTAAAAGTCAAGGGCTGGAAAAAGATATTCCATGCAAACGGAAATCAAAAAATGGCTGGAGTAGCGATATTGATCTCAGACAAAATACATGAGAGTCCAGCGACATAGCCATTATACTAACTGCTGGTCCCTCTGGGGCTTCCTTTATGGTCATTTCTAGGTTAGGTGCTTTGTCCCTTATCTGCCACATACTGATCTCCCTGTCAAGCAACTACTTCAATACAGATTCCATAGAGGATGACACGGAATGAACTATTTCTCAGTGGATTCAGAGGGAAAGATAAACCCTTGTTTGTTTGCTTCTTTGAGGTTTGAGCAGTCTTTGTTTCCTTGTGATCATAGGCAGTACCTTATCATTTGTAGCATGTCTATGCTCTACATAGACAGGGGTGCAATGACTGCAGTATGACCCAGAGCAGTTACTATCTCTTCAACGTTAAAGATATCCCAGAAATAAAAGTTGAAAGTGAAATGAGGCCAGCCAGCCCTGTAGGTCAGCATTTAAGAAGCTGTATCCCACATGGCTGATGACAGTTCAAATCCTAGCCTCCAAGACTTGAAAAACAAGGCAGATGTGTGTGTGCACACCCACAATCCTGATGAGAAGGAGGAATGGAGGAAATAGGATTCTAGCAAGCCCATACCTCATTGGGACGTGTTTTCTCCCTTTCTATTCCTCTCCCACTCTGGCAATAAAAATAATAGTAATAATAAAAAAAGAAAATAAAGTGAAGTAATTAAAGACTAAATGTTCCCTTTCCATTATTTTTTATGTCAGAATAATATGGTTTGCACATCAAAAGATATCTGGAAAAAGAGTATCTTAAAGAGTCCTTTCCTATTTTAAGAACAAGTGTTGAAGTGTTTCCTTTAAAATGGTTGAGGAAAAGACAACCCAGAACTAGCAGACTTAAGTTTTCTTTAATATAGCTTTCTATTATCCCTAACTCATCAGAAGGAAGGTGCTAATCTGTCTTTCTGAAAATAAATACACAGTCCCCTAGATTTACAAGATTAGCTCCTATTTCCATTTTCAAAAGCCTCTTTGAAAAACCAGCCACTGTTCCACAATGTCACTGCCAAGTAATTTTGAAAAATTACTCTTGGAGATTACTACCAGTATGAAACTGATATATCATAAGATTTTATCAATAAGTACATACTTTTCTCTTTCAATTGGAAAAAGGAGAAAAAAATTGAAAACAAATTGGCTTGAAAAATGGACAGTCTTCCAAATTTGGAACTTTAGCATTATATTACTATAAATGCAAATAATCATTTCTATTTAACATTTTTATTTATAAAGAGTTATTAATTTATTACTATTATTTTTTAATTTGATGTAGGCCATGTGTGCTCACCGGAGAGAGAGAGAGATAAACAGAGAGATAGAGAGAGAGAAATTGAGAAAGCAAACCACTAGCTAGGTCCAGGACTCAGATAGCAGTCAGCCATGTAGGAGTCCAGTGCTTAACCACCATGGCATTTGCTTGATCCCTCCTTAAAAAAAAGTATTTAATTGTATTTATTATTATTATTATTATTTAATTTGACAAGACAGAGGGAAAGGGAAAATGAGAAAGAAAGTTGTCTGGTCTGAGTCTTGAACTATGGTTGGCCATGTGGGAGTCCAGTGTCTTAATCACCATGCTACCCAATGGCCCCCATGGTTCCTTCTTTTAAACTCTTAAAAAAATCATTTTTATTATTATTGATTTTCTATTCTGAAAGTCATTCTGAAAAAGCAGAAATTCTTTTGTAGAAAAATATTTTTAATTTCATATGTTTTAAAAGTATATATTACACCTCCTCCATAATGTTCAATAGGCAACAGCTGATATTGGTGAGCAAACTTGAAATACACATAAAAGTTTCACTCATATCTTATTAAGCCTAGGAATCAATTATTAATTTATCCACCACTGTGCATTAAAGACAGTTAAAAATTGTTACTCTTACCATTCAAATAAGATGCTAGAATAAATCAATGTGTCTAAAGCCACAGAATAAATAATTGTATGCCAACCAGGAGTATTAGCCATTGAATGAAAGACTAAAGACGGTGGGTGTAGGGTTGATAAAAAAATATATATATATTTATTTAATTTCAAAAATGAGTTCAACATCTCAGTTCTCTTTTGTTTTTAGGATGTCACTGGCAATATTTACCTCAGAAATGGACAAAGGGAGACCCCCCCGCCATGGCTCCCACCAAATACTCTGCAACTCACAATTATTTTCCAAAGTGGCCAAAAATATGGTGGAATGATAAGAAAAATAAAGACACTTTAATTACTTTATTGGTTTGTTATAGGGTGTGTACACTTGTCAGAGAGGGAGAGGAAAAGTGATAAATCGCTACCCAGGAAAGTAGACATGCCACAATGCTTTGTTCTCTATGCTCCTTTTCGAATTTTGGGCACACACACACACACACACACACACACACACACACACTCACTGAGTTTTCTGAGCAGTTGGGTCTGAGACTCAAACCATTAAGTTAACAATGTGGGATCCAGATACCTAAACCACCAAGCCACTGGCTGGTCCTCATATATATATATTTTTTAATGTATAAGGAAATTATGGCCATGGTAAAATGAAAAACATAATATAAAATAGTATCAGGAGTCAGAGGATCTAATATGTATTCAGAAGTAAATACATATTCTATCTTATCTGTGTTAATGACAGTTCTGGAAGAGTGCTTGATAATGGCTAATATGATTCTACATATACTAGTTGACTAAATTCCTAAAAATTATCTTACATTTGCAAAACTTAGTGAAAATCTAATGTTATGCATTGGAATGGAGAATCAGTGATTCAGAAAAACAGATCCAATTAATAGAAAAGCCTTAATCTCTAGTCAAGGTCTGCAAAGCAGAACTGCTTTGACTTCTACATAATACCTTAGATTTTTACTCCTTTCACTTGATTGAGTTCGATATCCCTATTAATCAAATGTCAACCCCTATAAAATGAAAGAAAAATTAAATAGGTGAGAAGGTGCATTTAATTAATCTGGTATATCGGATTGCAGGTAATTTTGGTTTTTGAGTTAGCACAGGGCTCTAAAAAATCTGGCCATGATGCATTCAGAATAATAAAGAATAAATGCTGAGAAATAAATATGATGCAATTAGAAACTTTTCAAAACAAATAAAATATTGGGGAAGAAAATAATTTGAAGAAAGCTTGAGATGCTATTCTTTTTAAAAAAATTTAGGAGAATTATATTATTTATTATTACTTATCTTTAATTTGCTATCAGGCATGTGTACTCACCAGAGAAGGAGAGGGAAAATGAGAAAGCAAGTCACTAAGGCCAGGACTTGAACAGCTGTCAGTCATGTGGGAGTCCAGTGCCTTGACCACCACACCACCTGCTGGCCCCTTGAAATGTTATAGTAATTATGGAGTTTATGTGTTCTTGTGAAATTATCTGTGAGTCAGACTTGAAAAGGGGTAGGTTTTGATTTTTTGAGTATATTTTTTCCATGGTATATTAACAAAAAATAAATATTTACCCCATTTTATCTGACAAGCAAGTAGAAAATTTTGAATTTGGAATAATGAACAAAATATATTTTAAATAAAAGACACTAATGAGTACCAATGCCCAGTTCTAGCCTATATTTTGTTCTTTGGTCTTTGCACATACTGCATCATCTACCTATATACCAATTGTCCCATTTCCCTCCCTAGAAACCAGTCCTTCTGCTGAAATAACTCTTCCTAAACAATTCCCTTAAAAATGCTTAGTACTTGGGACCAGCAGGTGGTGTGGTGGTTAAGGCACTTGACGCTCCCATATGGCCGACCAGGGTTCAAGTCCTGAATCTGGTGGCTTGCTTTCTCACTTCCTCTCTCTCTCAGTCTCACCCTCTGTCTCTCTCTGGTCAAACTAAATAATAATAATAATAATAAATGAATAAATAAATAAAATAAATAATTATTTTTAAAAAATGCTTAGGACTCTCCTCCCTTAAGTCCAAAATGTGGTTCAAAATTTATGTACAGTGCCTAAAATGATGTAAGTTTTTCCCAGTTTCTACTACACGGCACACGTACTCACTAGAGAAACAGAAAGAAAAAGAGGGAAAGTAAGAATTCACACATACACACACACACATACACACACACACACAGGGAATGGTCACATCACAATTCATATTCCTCCAGTCTCCTCTCAGAATTTTGGGCACACTAACACATGCACCAGCAAGATTTTCAAGCCACCGAGCCATCGGGTGACCATGTGGGATCCAGCACCTTGACTTCCATGCCACTGGCTGGCCTGATGTGTGTTAATTTATCTTTTAACATCTTTTTAGCCATAGACTCCACCCCTTCCTAAACTATAATACTTATCTCTTACCTTTGCATCTACATCTGCTACAGTGACTGACATGTCACCAAGTCCTTAGTTATGAAACAAAGGATACCCATTTCTTATTTCTAGGTCAAGTCCTCCCCAGACCTAAAAGAAGCTTATGTTCATGAGAGCTTCTATAATTTAATAGTCTGATCTCTGCTTATGATATGTACGTCATTCTAAAAACCAAAGGCTTAAAGGAGGCTTGGATGTTCTTTACAGACAGCATTTCTAAGTAAGGCACAGTATATTTCAGAATCTGTGTAATGTCTGTTGGTCATCATGTACATGTGCATGTATGTATGTACACAGGATAGAGACAAGGAGACAGAAAGGCGTAGGTTGAGGGTTCATGTTAAACTTCATTGAAGTTATTTTTCAAGCACAATTCAAAAGCAGCCGCTTTTTCATTAAGAGATGTATGGTCTGACTCACATACATCTGTTTCTCTAGAGGTTATAAACCACACAAATCGGCAACATTCATATTTTAGCTAAAGCAATTTGAAAAGAGCAGCATGATAAAATGTCATAATTTTTGCTCTTGATACAATTAGTAGTATCACATAGGGATGACTTGAGACTGTGTCTATGAAATTTCTCGAAGAAAAACTAGTCATGGGTAAATTATATCACGTGCCCTTGGGCTAATCATGATTCTTCTCTTCCAGTAGTACTCCAAAATAGCCCTTAGTGAATTCAGTCATATTACACCAGAATGATAAATAATATTTAACCAGTGATAAAATACCAGTGGAGCTAATAGCATGTTTTTTCATTTGATTTTTAAATTTGTTCCTTGAAAATTATTTACAAATTGATATGGAAAAACTATCAATTTGCAGATTGAATAGCAGCTGATATGGGGAAAAGAAGTTGTTTTGATTCTTCCATAAAAGCATTTTTTCATTTTTCTACACATTTCATTGTAGCTAATTGTGAGAAAAAATACTATTTTCTTTAAAAATACCTTTAAATTGCTTATACATAAAAGTAACAATCATTTTCAACAACAACAACAAAGAAAAAAACATTATTAAGTGTTTCCTTTGATTTGGGAGAATTTTTTTTCTACATGATTCTAGACCAATAAGCAATAATAAAATATTTTTGCAGATACGAACCAACAAGAATGGAATAGAGAATCCCTGGTCTATCTGATGGTGGCTGAATGTTCCGGTCCTGATCAATGGCTTGGATCGGTGGGGTAACAATAATGGGGTTCAGTTCTTCCTGGAAAAAAATTCAGAGAGTTTAGTTCAGCTGTATTACAATACCTCAGGGAGAACTAACATGGGTATTTTTAGTTCGGACAGTTAGATAACAACAAAACCAGTAGCTAAACTCAGATTTCAAGATAGTTAACACCATATACTAGTTAATTTTGAATCTGAAGGTGTCCTCAAAGTCAAAATGAAAAGACATACTAATCATGCCTTTCATTACACACAGAAAACTTTATATCAAGAAGTACTCCCAAAAGGAAAGCAAGACAACACATTTTTAAAAATTTTTTATTTATTTTTATTTCGTTTTCTTTTATACATTCAATCACATTATTTAGCTTACAAAATGAATATTTCAACAGGTGAACATTTCTCCCTAGCCCAGTTGATAAAATTATAAAATACCTTCAACAGATAATATCACATTTCTTTGTCCCATTAATGCTATGCCTCTCTATTTTTCTTCTAAATATCCTTCATCAGACCCTACCCTTTCACACACACTATATCTCTATATCTGATATTTACATCCATTTCTTTTTCTTTCTTTCTTTTTTTTTTTTTTTTTTTTTTTTTTGGGTTTTTTTTTATTGGGGAACACGACCCC